CTTGAGAAATTTTCATTTCCAGAAGTGAATGAAATAATCTATTCTACGAAGTGAATGGAGCTATAAACATAATTATATATATATGTTAAATGTATTGTTTGGATCTTTTCACCATAAATAAGGAGAACTATAAATATGGATGACACCACAATTGCATTATCAAAGTCATGATAACATAATGTACCTGTTGAACAATATAATGTATAATGAAATAAATTTAAAATCACCTAGTTAGTGATGGTATTGTTCCAAATAAAGCTTATCTAAATTTTCACAATTGTAGTAATATGATTCTTATTTTCTATTATGTTTTATTGTGCCATAATTTTCATGCATAATTTAACTTGATAAGTTCATCACTTTTGTCTTAAGTTTGAAATATTCTCATTTATTATTTTAGTATGTTTTTGTAAAGTATGATTGTTAGAAAAATTCCATATTAACTATATGGTAGAGTACATAAATGAGAAAAAGCTTTCGAAGAGCTTATGTTTGGTTACTTGAAGTAACTAAATTATGTACTCGTGATAACAATTTGTGATGATATTCACTATGAATTTGTGTTTACTAAGAATGCATCAAATCATAAGTCCCCGGAAGGGCGAAATATGGTACAAAATATGGTAAGGTTCTAAAAGAGCTAATGTTTTGTGGCCTGAAGGAACCAAACTACCTAGTGATGATGCATTGCCCAATTAAAAGGATATTCATAAAATGAATATCTTATCAAGAAAATAGTGAAACTAATATTTGCATCACAAATATGTACTACATGTATATTAGTACAATCAGTACACATAAAAGTGTAAACCAGAAGTTTACAAGATTTGATAACTTGATAATTGGTTGATCCGGTTAGACCATCCAGGATCTTGATGTGAAAAAAGGTTCTTTGAGAATTCATGAGAACATCAAATGACAATTAAAAGAACTCTTCAACTAAAAGAGATTATATCATGTTTGTTCTCAAGGAGAATAGAACAATTGATCATCGCTTGTACAAGAGTTGGCAAATTTCTTGAGATTTTATGGACGTGTATGCAGAACAATACATCAGTCATGTGGATCATTTGTGAATTTTATGGGTTGCTGCATCAAATGGATGATCACTTTTATTTTATCTAATGGCAACCCGATGTTTGCGAGATTGATTGCCTCACTATGGATACATTTTGATGGTTATCCAGCAAACATCACTTTGTTTAAGAGAACAAACTGAGCCTTCTGGTCTCTTGTCGAGGACATGCTAGCTGGCAAGTGATAGTATTGGTTCACTTCTAACCAACAAGTTATCCTAAGTTCCCCCCTTTTACAAATGATTTTGGTAAAAAACCCAACATTTCTCATATGAGAATATCAGGGTGTGCCGCATACATCCCAATTGCTCCACTACAGTATCTTAAGTTGATTCTCGTTGGAAATTGAGAATTTGTGTTGGGTATGAATCCCAAATGGGAAATTTGTTTGCGAAATTATTGTTTTGATGAATCACTTTTCCAACATTAAGGGGGAGAGAGAAGAAAACACAGCTAGACAAAGAGATAAGTTGGAATGAGTTATCATTATCTAGTTTTGATCCTCAAAGTAAGAAACATGAACCTGAAGTTCATAAGATGAATTATCGTTACCAACTATCAAATGCCTTTATTGGCCATACGAAGTGACCAAGTCACATATACTAGCTGTGAATGCTCCAACTAAATTTGATATCCTTGTTGGATACTCTAATATAAAAAAAATGTGTATGAAAGAGAGCATGAAGCGTGATAGACCAATCGGTTCCAATGACAAACATCTCGAGAAAGAAAAGGATCTGTAATTAGAATGGTCAACTCGAGGACATGAAAACTCAAGAAGAGTAACCAAGAATAAAATACAATTTTAGTTCTAGAAGAACACATGTCTCTGAAAGTTGTGAAAGCGAAGAGATCTCAAAACCATATAAGACTACAATACTGGAACCGTAATGAAATCATTGTCGATGAAATTTGTTTGTTGTACTTCAGTACTGAATATGATATGTACAAGTGAGGATCAAGAGTAAAACTCTATTAGTGCATGCAAATGATGATGTTATTTGCCAATATAGAAAGAAATCATGAAACTTGCTTAAGGAGCATAAAGTTTAAGGACCAGAAGTCCTTGCACCTAAAAAAGGGCAAAACTAGCGGGATACAAACAAATTTCTGTGCTATTGGAAAGTATGAAATTGTGAGAGATATAGCATAATGTTTTGCAATGGGTTTCTCGAAGAGACCTATCATTGTTTAAGAGGAGTTATACTCCCCTGTGGTGGATGCTACTACCTTTTCAAATCAATGTTTGAAATTGTTGTGACAGCCTATTTGTTTGAATTCCCTGAAGATATATATATTTGAAACTCCCAGAAGGATTAGTTACTCCTAGAAGGATTTGTTTACCTGAAGTAAACAAGTAAAGTTCTTGAGAACATATATCGATAGACTAAGAAAATCCCTTATGTGGGTTGAGACAATATAGACGAATGTGAAATACTCATCTAAGTGAACACCTACAACAGTAGGGTGAATGGACCTTAAAAGGTTAAATCCGAATAGAGTGCATTAGAGCATTTGCAGTGTGCATATATAGTTGTGTTGTCTGTATGTGCTTCAAGGATTTTAAAATCTTGGTTTATGAGTTGTGTTTTACTTTAAAGTATGAGTTGTGTTTTATGACTGTGCTTTGTCCAGTTCATATGTTTCTATGATGTGATTTTTGTTATTATCTTTCGTGATATAAAAGTATTGTTTGCGTCAATTTGTGTTAGTTAAGTTTTTTTTTGCGACGGTCTCATATTATATTGATGATATGACTATTATTGGAGCTCCTGAAGAGCTTCCTAAAGTAATTGATTGCTTAGAGACATAAGTTAAATTGAAGGATTTAAGATCCTTTTTATGGGCAAGGAAGGTAATGTTGAAAAAGTGGAAAAGTAATTTTACATGAACAAATTATGTTCATCAAATAACATTAGGATCCTAAGATCACTAGAAGTGAGCAAAGATCCAATTAGGCATCAAGAAAGAAGTGAAACATTATGTCCTGAAGTACTTTATGTTGATGTACTAGGTCCTGAAGTACCCTATGTTGATGCATCAAAGCACCAATGCATCTTGCTACCTAAGCACCATATAAACTATCATTTTGATGTTGATAATATTAGCAAAATACAATGTTTCCCTCAATGGAACGTTGGAAATACTTTGTTACCTTAATATATGCGATTGTTCTATTATGGTACTATCAAAGAGAGATTTGGTGAACTATATATCCAAATCCTATATATTATTTGATCCTCATATCGGTTGATCAGAGACGAGCTATCTCTTACATATGGTGATGTGATTGTTTCATAGATATCCAAAACAAACTATAGTAGGCAAGTCCTGAATGTATTTCGTTACACTTTGTGATTCACCATATCTAAAGGACTTGTGGTTGTAAACTATTTATAAAGGAAACGATCCTGACGATCATGTATAAAGAAAATCTAAAGATTATGCATAAGATTGACAATCAAGAAGATTGTTCGCTAACTAACTCCCGACAACAATCTTTCCAAAAGTTGTCCGTGAAATTTGAGTTTAACGACTCAAAGATTTGAAGTGATGTGGTCATGAGGGGGAGCATATACGCACTGCACTCTTTTTCCCTTAACCATGGTTTTTTACCACTGGGTTTTCCTGGTAAGGTTTTTAACGAGGCAGTATGAGATAACGTAATGCAATCTAGTGGTCATCCAAGGGGGAGTATTATGTAAATATTGATATATGGATGACCATTGCTATTACGGCATTAGATGCTCACTTGGGAGTTATATGTAACCCCCATTCCTACATTTGATGGCTCCTTTATGTTTCATTATCTCTCATTGATATAAGGATGTAGTGGTTATCAAGGTGTGCCTATAAATAAAGCACACCATTATATCAAAAGAGAATAATGAATAAGAAAGCTCACTTCCCCCTAGGGATGTCAATGAGTAGGGTCGGGTGCGGGTTTACCCTATACCAACTCCTAACCCGCCGGGTAGAGCTTTCTAAGATACCCGACCAAATAATCACCGGGTATGAAACTTATATAACCATACCCTACCCACCGGGTAACCACGGGTATTCGGGCAACCATGGGTACGAATCCTAAAATATGAACTTATACACATATATGCACATACATACTGTTGTTCATTAAAAATTCTCAATACTTCTTTATAAAAAAAAATTCTCAATAGTTCGAGCTTCAACAATCCACACAAATAAAAATAGCAAACACATAATAATTGTTCTTGTTTCTACAATCCACACAAACATAATTATCGTCTACATCTTCATCATCAATAATGGTAGCTAAACTCAATTTCTCAAGCTAATCTAAATTTCTCAAGGGAAATTGACCCTTTGGTGAGCGGGGCGGGTATAACGGAGCAGGTATTATCGATTACCATACCCGTACCCTACCCTTTATTTTGAAACCGGGTATTACCCATACCCACCCCTTAACCCGTCAAAGCGGGTAATTACCCTCGTTGACCGGTTACGGTCGAGTAGGGTACCCATGGTTACGAGTTGGATTGACATCCCTACTTCCCCCTCTTTTCTTTGTGTCTTTCCCTCTCTAATCTTCTCTTCTAGTTGTTTATATTTTTCATTAGTTTCATAACATTTTTATCGTTGATCTCTTGCTTCTTAAGCGATTTGTAGGATAGCTGTATTCGAATGCGATTAAATGTAAATCGCTGTCCATAGAAGCTACTTGCACTTTGATGGCTTTAAACAGAAGTGATTCACAATTCAACGCATTTCTCTCCAACAATTTTAGTGTAGAACGGTTGCCATTACAAGCAATTTGGTAAAAAAAATTGTGTACTTAGAAAACCAACGAATGGAGAAACTCCTGGAAATTTGACCCAAAAAAAAAAAAAAACGCACCGTGAATTGATGAACTCAAGCTCCAATGCGCAACAGTAAATTAACGCAAACACATCGTACTAAATCTGACTTTTCAGAATCATGGATCATTCACCATTGAACAAGCCGCGCACCAACTCCACGTGTTAAGTAAAACCAAAACTAATATGCAACAAGTCAACTAGGCCATCAATCTGGTTGTAAACCCACTATAAGCTAATCTGCTTAAGCATGGATAACAAGATTGTTCTGTGAAAGTCGAGAACAAGGACACTTCAAACAACAAAATTGGATAATAAAATGTTTGCAACTAAACATTTTGAACCGCAAAGAAAGATCCAACACCAAAACACTACCACACAAAAGGGACAACCACATAAAGATGAAAAGAGCAAGTGACGATTCACAGCCTCCTACCCCTCCTGCCTCCCTTTCTGCGAGTGCTATCCGTGGGGATCGGAGTCACATCCTCTATAGAAAAAGGTACCAACATAAAGTCAAAACAGAAGGAAAACTTCACTTTATTGAGAAAATTGAGTAACAGTGGGAAAAATGCCTTACCGATACGACCAATTTTCATGCCAGAACGTGCAAGAGCCCGAAGTGCTGACTGAGCACCAGGGCCAGGAGTCTTGGTCTTGTTTCCTCCTGTAGCTCTGAGCTTTATATGAAGAGCATTGATGCCAAGCTCCTGTTTTGCAATGTGTATTAGAAGCAAGGAAATGCATAGACTACTGATAGATGAAAATGAGCTCAACTATATAATGCTCATGTAGAAATAAAAGAGCACCAGTTTCGACAAACCTTGCATCGTTGAGCAACATCCTGTGCTGCAAGCATAGCAGCATAAGGAGATGACTCATCCCTATCGGCTTTCACCTTCATACCACCTGAACTCAAACAAAATAGCCAAATTATTAGATGGATGGCATCATACGAAGGAAGCACTTGCTAAGCGATAATGCATATTGTCTTTCTTACTAGATTGAAAGCAAGAAGCATACCAGTAATGCGAACCAAAGTTTCTCTTCCAGAGAGATCAGTCACGTGCTAAATTAGACAATAGACATTTTGAAAATTAGAATTGTAATTGGAAAAATAAAAATCCAGCTACAAGAAGGCATACCGAACGCGAAACTTACAATGAAGGTGTCATTGAATGATGCGAAAATGTGAGCAGTGCCAAAAACAACCTCTCCATCCTTCACTGCAGGTCCGAGGCTAGCAGGCTCCTCCTTCACCTCTCTAACCTTACGCTTAGACTGCAGGCAGTCAAAGATGACCAACATTCAGGGTTCAGAAAGCAATCGAAAATCCAAATTATACAAGCATATTAGTGCAACAAAACAAATAAAAAACGCCTTCGGGCCATTTCAAAGCAGAGCAAAGGAGTTGCTGACTTTCTGCGCCATCTGAAACTGGACATCCCACTCTTGCGGTCATAAACTAAAACTAATAGATTCCCAAACGAAGCTAGCTGAACCCAAATCGAAAGTAGAAGCTCCTAGACATTGGAAACAACGAACCAAATTTGCAGGTTTAACTTTGCCTTAATCTCACAGCCGGAACACCGTAGGAACATAAGTTGAAACTCGGAATCAAACACGAATTCCAATCTCCAATCCCTTTGCGATAGATAAGTCGAAGAAATAGCAAACAGTAGAAGGAATCGCGCCAATCTAGAAGGCATTTTCACAGCAACCAAGGCACGCGAGATCCAGGGCAAAATAGATGGGTAGAGATGGAAAAGAAGAGGCTTCTCACCATGGCTGCGAGGAGAAACGAAAGTGAGTAGGCTAAGGTAGCTGTGGAGCGCTTTTCCGCCTGCAGTCCGAGGGAAAGGTTGGATAGCAAGAGACGATGGCGAGGAAGGATGATCAAATTTATATCTAGGGTTTAGTAAAGACGAAGGGGGCTGATTGGGGTAACCCTGTCAGGATATGGGCCCTTTATAATTAACTATGTTGGGTTAAGATTATTTTGTTTGTGGGTCAGACCGAGCTTACTATATGGACCTAGGTAGGTGATTTTCAGGCCCAACGTCTTTACTCTTGGTTGGAAGGCTCAACAGTATTGATTGTATTTTTATGCAGGAAAACAACTTAAGGGTTGGGATTTGCATTTCTAAATATTGTATTCATTGGCTAGTGGTAACTAGCATGCATAACATTTTGGGTCGTTTGGATGGGTCATTCTCAAAATGAGGCAATTTGTATCAAAAGATCCATTTTAAAAAATGAGTCCATTTGATGAAGAAATCTTCCAACAATGTGTCGTTTGGAATAGAGTGCAAGATGGAGAAATGCAGGTGACTCAATTTGGCGAAATACCAAATTACCCTTATCTTCTGCAAGTTTCTTTTCTTGTTTTGCTGCAAGGTTTCATCCCTGTTTCTGGGGCTTCTTTCAACCGAGTTCGTCATTTTTTGCTTTCATATCCCTCTCGGATTCACCATATCCCTCACATGCAATCAATTTCTGCTTTCATAATGCCCACAAACAAAATGGACAATTTTAAAAGGGAATCATAATCCAACAAATAAACAATCGAAACAGAAAAGCGAATCATAATCGCCGCTACTTTTGAAGTTTTTGCAGAGATAGACAAAGATCAGAGGAAGGAGAAAAGTAACGAGGGCCACAATGGGAAGGGGTGCCCAAAAAATGCGTCAAAGTAAAATACCTGCCCCCCACCCAGGTATTTCCAATTGACGCCTAACGAGTCCATTACAATTGACCCGGCCCAAAATGATCCATTTCGTTTTTGTGATGCCAAATGAGGCAATTTGGCTCAATTGTCTCATTTTGAGGCAATTGTGCCACATTGCCTCATTAGAAAGACTCATCCAAACGACCCCTTTGGTTTTTCTCCATAGCTACAATCATATGCATGTTTTGTTTTTGTCATGTGACACCTAAAATCAACAAAACATTGTCTCTCCATCTATTCTTATGATGGTTGTGGTTTCTGATGGAGCCTTCTCAAGTGCTGTTGGGGGAGGTTGCTCCTAGGCTTCCCTATTTGGTGTTCTTGAGGATGGTTGTCTACAGTACTTCATACTTGAAATTGTGAATAAGCCTTTGAGACCATCTAGACTGGATGAGGGTACCAAAAGATGGGCAAACAACTTAGTGGGTTAGTTTCTTGGGGTTACTCCATCACGTCCATCTCTCTACGCATAGGAATATTGGTTATGCGAAAGAGATGGAAAAATGAAGGCTCTCTGGTTTGAATATCAGTTTGTTTTATCTCAATTTCCATTAGTGGAAGTAAACAACTAGGTTTTGGAGGAAGACCATGGCGTTACGGAGAAAAAATGTTGTCTAATTCAGGGTCGGAGCTAGGATTTAAAGTTCGGGCGGGGGAGCGAATATTTTATTAACGTAAAAAAATATATATAGATGTCACCCCAAAAATGTTATTTAAGAGAATTATAAGCACTAAAAGTACGATTTAAATTAAAAAATTTAGCAACGACATGTTCAAAATTATTAAATAAATTGTAAAAATCATGCACCGTGATCATCAATCAACACATCCTCCAATAATATATGATAGAGTTTTGTGTATTTTTCTCCATTTTAAATTTCCAGCAACGAGAGTGAAAGTAGGAAAGACATTTTTGTCTTTACACATAAATTATTTATTTCATAAAAAATATCTACATCAAGATTTGAACACGGGTCTCTTCAAATAAACCAATTACACTAAACACATTTGTTGATTCCTTTTTGATACAAAACATAGACGAAGTTAAACTCTGAAAATTAGAGAAATTTTCCATCATGATTAGCAAGCCACTAAGTCTACCGTATGTATTTTTATCGTGCTTGATACTTCTATTTTCATAGTAGAGTTTCATGTAATTTTCCCAATTTTAAATTTCTGCTCTCTTCTTAATTTTTGCTAAAGGTAAATTGGTAATTGGCTAACATGGAAGAAACTAATTATGTTAATTTGTATGGTATCCTTGCAATTTTTTAATTTAAATTTAATTTTTGTGCTTTTTTATCTTTGTTCTTTTCTCTTTCTAACTTCCTCCGAAATTTTGTCCATCGTGCAATAGTTTGCGCTCCTTTCACTTCCCAACACTAGGCTGCCATTGAAAATCAATCTTCAGGAATCTTTTGGCACTATGGTTTTATTGTTGGAGATTTAGGCTGGTCGAGTAGAAGATTTCAACTCCAATATCAATCCATGGTGAATAGAATGGAGTTCATCAATAAATGGAGTTGCAGAAGGAGGATTAGAAATTGAATTTTTTGGTTGAATCATATGGCTATTGAGATAAAAATTTGGTGGTACAACGGAGAGTGACGGATATTGGATCTTTAGGTTTATAGTTTTTGCAACTGTCTTTCTATCTTAAAACGAGAAATCATTGATTGATTTATTGAAGTAGGTCGATTCTTTATTCAACCTACTGAAACTAATAGATAAAGAGTGTCTAATTTTGTGTGTCTTATTACTTTGATCAATTCTATTCGTATATTGGAGGCAAAGTAGTCAAAATCGGGATTTTACGTAAAATAATAAATGAGGGTAAAATCGAATCATAAAATCGTAGGACTTTAAGGTCCATATAAAAATGAAGACGGAATAATATTAGTAAGGAAAATCATGAATAACACAAAAGCACATAACACTCACAATGATAATTTCTCAAGGTTAATGTTAAGAGGTGATGAATCGATGATGATTAATAGGTTGATGTGAATTGATTATAGTCGATGGTGGTTAGTGTGAGAGAACTAGATGACGTTGGTGGACAAGAAGAAAAAGAGGCGTAATTTTTGTAAATTCTGGTGTCCATAGATTTATAGTGAAATCAGAATAGTTAAGTAAAATCGTAAAAGCGTAGGATTTTAGGATTTAAATCGGGATTTTGACTACTCTGATTGGAGGTAAACCTGATTTTTTTTTTGTTTGCTCTCAAGTTGTGATGGTCCCCTCTTATCCGAGTTCTTAGTATATAGTTGACTTGAATAAAAAAATCTCCATTTCTTTATGATTAGTGACATATTGTTCCTAAAAAGAGAGCATTGAACCCTTTATATACGATTGTGAGGTTTAAGATTTAGTTTCAAACTATCTATGGGTCGTGTGGAAATTTCGGTGAGCTTTTATACTATATATTTCATGACAATCAACTAACCAATAACATTTTAACGGGGACTTAATTATCATTATGAAAATAGGATCAATGATACATTTTTATATTTTATATTCTTAAATGATTATGATATCTCTCCAATGTTCGACCTATATATTCTTTCTTTATGTATCATCTCGATCGAAAGATTATCAATAAAATTAAACGGGGGGATAGACTTAAATGTAACATAAATATATAAATAATCAAATATGAGCATTCCGGCCAACGGGCCGGGTTATAAGCTAGTATTATTAAAGTTGAAAGCCAAAACTCATTGCTCCATTTCAAATTTCCTGTATCGAGAGTGAAAATAGGAAGTACATTTTTGTTTTCACAACTACTTATTTCTTTCTTATTTATTCATAAAAAATATATGCATATGGGGATTTGAACAATGACCACTTTTCAGAGAGGGAAGGGCTACAACCAATCACACTACATATATTTGTAGTATCCTTTAAAAGAAAAACATACACAAACCTAAAATCTCAAAAATCAGAAGACCTTTTCAGCGGTTAGCTAGCAACTAAATCTCTCATAAGTACTTATTTGGTGATTTGATACTTCGACTTTCATATTTTTTATTATTTTAATTGTATTTTAATACTTAATTTATATTTCAATGTATATTATATATAGAGGATAACTTTAAAATTGCAAATCATATATCACTTGGTTGAATATTGCATATAAAATTAGAGTATTAAATAGGTGGAAGCAATGTCAAAATTTTAAATTAGTATTAGTTTTTAGAATTAACTATGAAGAAATCATATCCTTATGTAGACTATACGGGACTGGTTCTTTAACGTTTTAGCCGGGTTAACTGCTAAGCTTTCAACATGTTCCAAATCTGGCATGATTAGATCCAATGATCATTGTACAAGATTGAGATTAATTATTGGTTTATTTCACCATTTTTTGACATGTTAATGAATTTCTTGGGCAATGACATATATCTACGTCAAAACACAATAACATATATAAGACTGAGAAATTAGAAAAGTATTTTCCCGTTTCAAATTCCTACAACGAGAGCGAAAGTATGAATTGTATATTTGCCTTCACAATTATTAAACTTATTTATTTGTAGAAAATAATCAAGTATTGGAATTTGAACCAATGTATCTTCCAAAATAGACAAGAATCATAAGTCTGATTATAAACCCAAGTTTGACATGGTTGGGAGAATCAGTTTTGCCCAAACCCGAGTATTTGTTAGGATGTTGGAGGCCCAGTTGGTTATCAACCCAAACTTGGTCAAACTAAGAAAACTAATTGAATTAGGAAATCGAGTTGATTAAACTAACTCATCTAAGCATTGAGTCACCTCAAACTGACATCATTTTCAACAAATCTAATCACTAGCTCTGTTGACATGTCGTCCTTTTCCTTATCAAAGACCCATGCAGCAACATACATCAACCACCCGTGTTCGGTTATCCCATAATATCTTTCCTCCTTTAGTATCGGCATGCAACAATACAAGTCCCAATCATCTCAAAAGCCAACACAGTTCCTTAGTAGTTAATTTCATTTTCCTTCCAGCAACAAGGTCACGTCACCAATCAACCACATCTCAAACAAATAATTAATAAGCCACAAGATTAGACGAACATATATTTGGATTGAGACTTGATGTGATTAACAAAGACCAATGTTCTCATTTGTATATATACATGAAATCGAATTGGAGAAAAAGAGTAAGAACATTGAGAATGAAATATGATAT